CGGCGTAGTGGTTAACATCAATACCTCTCACGCCAAAGTCACGAGTTCAACTCTCACCCCCGGACAAGTCACGAATGACCCTAGAGTGTTAAAGTGACTTTAATAAAAAAAAAAAAAAAAAAAAAAAAAAAAAAAAAAAAAAAAAAAAAAAAATATATCCTATACTTCCAACCATTCGTTCCAGCAGAAAATGGCCGCCTTCCACCACATGATTCATCGGATGCAGACTCTTCCACTCAGCGAAACAGCAAAGGTTAAGGAATTACAGTACATCTTCGAAACAGCGAGACTCAACGGATACAAGGAGACCACAATCCAGGCAATCATCGATATAAAAAAGCGAGAATTCTACAAAGGAGATTATTTACAACCCTCACCACAGCACCTGAACCCTTGTAAAGAGTGTCCGTTCCATTTGATATATTATGATATTATATGCCAAGACCACAGTTAAAAAAAATCGGATTAGATTTAGTTTTCACCAGTAGACATAACCAGTTAAAAATCATTGTTAGGATCCACTAAAGACCCAGTTAATGTTTTAGGTAAAGCAGGTGTAGATAACATAAGCTGTAATCAATGTAACAAAGTATATGTAGGACAAACCAAGAGAACTTTAACAACTAGATTTAAAGAACATATAGCGGAGGCCAAAAAGTAAGAGGAAAAAGGCCTAAATTATGATTTTAAATCGAAGCTTGCAGAACACATCTTCACAGAGGACCATCAACTATCGACGGAAGACATAACGATTTTACGAACCGTCTCTACACCATGGAAATTGAATGTTGCAGATAGCTTCCCTTAGCTCAGTCGGTAAAGGCGCAGCTATAAAGCAAGACCATGCTGGAGGTAGCTGGGTTCGATTCCCGATCCGGTCTAGGAATTTTTTTCGGGTTGGAAAATTTCTCGACTTCCCTGGGCATAGAGTTTGATTGTACTTGCCACACAATTATACTAATGCAAAAATGTTACAGGAATCGAAAGCTCTCAATTAATAACTGTGGAAGTGCATCTAGAACACTAAGTTGAGAGCACGCAATAAGCTAAAATGCAATTTGCATTAAGCTTGAAATGCGCAGAAGAAGAAGAAGAAGAAGAAGAAGAAGAAGAAGAAGAAGAAGAAGAAGAAGAAGAAGAAGAGACCCTCGACGGACACATCAACGAGTTAGCAGTACCTGTTTTCTTCAGTCGAGCATTAGTACAAGACACTGAAGAAGTTTGCACATTGTAGACGCAATACGCGTTTCTGTCAGGATAAGCAAATAAGGTAAGGTAGTGGAATTAAATGGAAATTACTAATCCTTCTCTCTTTATACAGGTATTCCACTAAGACGCCCACATTCATCAGGATTGGTCACCCTGATTAAAAAATTCCATGGATTTTAAGTTTTTAAAGCCTAAAGATTTTTAAAAGTATTTCCAACTTCAATTTATTTCTTCCAAAATTAGGTCTAATCACTCCCTTAGCTGAGGAATCCACAGGACCATTTGTCGAAAGCAAGTTTACAGCAGTATCGTAGCTGTTCTGAAGAGTATGTTTAATGAACTTTCCAGTACAACTCTATGGGAAGACAGGTCCAGAAAACTTCTGAGGACTGCTTATTGATGGGACCTTATGACTTTGCAGCTCTAGGTCTTCTAGGCATCGTCATTTTATTCGTTTGAACTTCCCTATATAAGCGGATTATTTATAGATACATCCACAGGTCTCCTTGTGAAGTTTACTATGCTTGTCTTCAGGTCACTGTCCTTAGACTTATCCTGACATAGTTATGGACGTATCGGAGTTGTCCCCAGCATACACCTGACGATCTCTGTATTTTAAGACATCTAGACTAACCATTGTTGTCGAGATATCCCATTAAAGCTATCCTAACTAGGCATTATTGTCTCATGGACCTGTCTTCAGACTTCTATTGCCATATTCAAACCCATGGGTTAACAGTCAAATGCATGCAAACGCACACGCCACTAATCCATTGTGGGTGACCCTTTACGATCAAGGTTCAAGGATGGTAGGACAGCTCTTTGCAGTCTAAAGCTTGACTTATGTGGATTCGTTTTGAGTTTTATTTACTCTGACTACTTTTATGGTTACTCCTTCTGTTTTCCGACAAGAGATGTCTGAAATTCAAACTTGAAACTCTTGTCACGAAATTTGTAATAGGGGAAATGCAGGTAATGTCGGCCTAAGTGTCCGTAATCTGGGCCCATACATAAATTCAACAATCGACTAAATTTTCAATAGCAACCAAAAATATCGATTAGTAACGTCCGAATAACACGTTCATCTAGATAAAATTGATAAATAGCAGATTTTTAACGATGGGCCCAATCTTAGATCCATAGGCAAACATTAGAGACATTTCCCCTACTTTTATGATGGTTGGATCCATGGTAATACATAGGGTTGATCAGTTTTAGGAAATGCCCTGAACTCCACAATGTTTTACTTCCAGGGTAGCCAGTGAATTTTAATTTTGAAATTCCCGGTTTTTTCCCGGTCTTCCCAATACAAATCTTGAAAAATTCACGGTTGTTGATATTCAACAGAAAACGCTATCTGGATGAATAGGTTATAAGACAGAATTGTGAAAAAAAGAGATTTAAGTAAAAAAATGTTTCAGAAAAAATGAATTTGATGCAAATGATAATTAGAGGACATTGTTACGGATATCAGATAATGAAAATGTGTCTTCACTCCGTTGTCTATACTAACAAAAATATTAACCTTTCAGTACTCGCGCTGATGTACAAAGTTAAACATAAAAAATATATAAAACTTGCTGACGTTGGAACTCGCTCAACGTGAAACTAAACATAGTTCATGCAATTTAATACCCACGTACCCACAAAAGACCAATATTACTGAAAGGTTATTTTATTTACTGGAAGAAATTTACTGAATGGATAAAAAATGTGATTCAAGAAGATTTCCAAGATTCTGGAACTTTGAAATTCTGTAGAGTCTGAAACTAGAACTTTTCTTCAAAATGTGTGATTAATAACAATCTTGGAGAAAACATAATTAAAATAATAATAATTAAATAAAATTTGAAAAAAATTCAAGATCGCAGATTTGAAGAAAAAAATCATGCTTATGAGTCGTGGAGTCATAATTGTCAAGGCTCTGACACTTGGAAGCATTTTAAGGGTTATAAAAAATTACAGAACAATCGATAGAATCAAACCCTGGAATTTTTTAGAAAAATTTAAAGGTATTCAAAGTGTTGATTTCAAAGAAATATTGAGGATTTCCACATAATTTTCAAAGGAGAAGTTCTGATAAGAATCCCAGAACTATTCTGACATTATGTCCTTAGAAATCGTTAGACGAATTTGGAGGGGTTTCTGTGCAGAATAATGCAAGTTCTAAATTGAATTCTTAGGTAATTTTTGAAGATTTGGAGTTGTGAAAAAAAAAACTTTAAGGAAAATTCCTACGTGATTCTGAGGAGATTGGTATGAGGATCGCGAGAAAAATGACACCTGAATTTTAAGAGAATAATAATGAGAATTCAACAAGACACAGAGTTCTAAGAGTGTTATGGCGATAATTTCAACCCTAGTGCAAAAGATTCATCACATAGCTCCAACAAAATTTATTGCAAAAAAATGTTAATAATTAGAAAGAAATTCTTTAAAATACTCCAAGGGGTTTCTAAACTAAATTTCGAAAGATTTATGCTGTTTTGAATAGAGTTAAAAGAAAATTTTACAAAGAATTTCAAATGAATCAAAGTCTCCGAATGGGTTCAAGGGAGTTCTAAGAAGGATTCCAATCAAATTTTTAGAAGGGGTTTCGGGGTTTCAAGGAAATCCCAAAAAGAATTCAACGGTAAATATTACGCGGAGTGTTTTCTGCTTAATTTCAGAAGAATTCCATGATAATTCTGAGCAGAATTCCAAGTTAATTCTGGAATTCATATCATGAGAATTTTGAATAACGTTAAATTACAACCCCGGAAAATAACAGTTCAGTTTCGATTTTAACAAATATTTGTGTGCAAAGTCCAGCATCTTCAATATTTTCTTGCACTTGCACTTTACATCTGAAATTGAAACGACAAAAATCAATTTGAAATATTGCAGAGTGATTTAATTCTAAAAACTATAAGACGGGAAACTGAAGAAAATTATAGAGCAAAACATTCATTTTTTAAAGAATCACTCTGTTTCAATGGTTTAATCTGAAATTCTGGTGTGAAAATTTGTTCCTATGGTATGGTTAATTTTTTCCCGATTCTTTTATCGAATTCCCGGGTTTTTCCGGTTACTTTTCAAATTCCCCGATGTTTCCCGGTATTCCCGGTTCGCTGGCCACTCTGTACTTAATGCAATTAAGTTTTGCCTCCAACAAATATTACAATTACTTGAGACTTAGGGAAAGCTATGTTCATCCCAAATATGGCAAACAAGTTTTAGTGGCCATTCCATTAAAGTCTGGAAAAAGGAATTTGGTGTCCGTAGTTCATTGCCTAACAAGCACTGCACCTTTTCCCAATCAGATTTCTCTAATCCACTTTACAATTAGCGGCAGATTGCGTAACTGGAGATTCTAGTCCAATTAAGTCATAAATACCAAGTCAACATACTCCATCACACCCACTAGAATCAAAACCAACAACAATAACCCAGACCCCCTAAAATGCTGGAAAATATAGCCACCGCTCGACCTTTGCATGACGACGATGGCAGGCAACACAACTCATTCCAACCGCTCCGGGCTCTCGTTTCATCGTTCCGTGTGTGAGCGCAAAGCGGTCGGTGTGTGTATGTTGTGTTGTAGCAGGCATTGCTCTACCTCTCTGAGTCGGTGGTGAGGAGGTAGAAAGCAACAACCAATAAAATAAAAAGAGGAAACGTCAAAACCCGAAGGAATCCAACATGGAGGAGTGCATAGTAGATGTTGTTCATGTTTGGCCACTCCGCTATGTACGTGTGTACCTACGTACGTGCGGATGTACGTTACGATGATCGCATTCAAGGGTACTCACCTTCTGTTCGAAAACTGTGCAAAAATTTACTCCTAGGGCAATTATCGATATTAACGCACGTTCGATTGATGGATACAGGCTCCGAGCTGATAGTTTGTTAAATTGGGAACTGTTTCCCGTGCGAGTAATACAGTACAATTCACACAATACACTTTAGATCTGAAGAAAAAAAATTCCACGCAATGTTTACGTCGCACCAGTTCAGCTATACACACAGTTTTCGTGTCCAACTTCGAGAAACTCCAATCAACTCTGGACTCTGTTTCTTCTGCTTCCTCTTCACTTGTTTTTTTCGTGCACTTCTTTTCCTGTTACTCCGTTTTGACACACAGACACTTCATGCTCTCCTCCGTTTGTTGGAATTGGACAATCACTTTTCTTCTTCTCTAGTGGCTCACTGGCCGTTCCAAAAATTACATCTTTACGCTCTTTCTCGTTTCGCTCACAACTTTAGGGGTTCCGATTACTTTTCGCTCCGTATTATTCGCTCATTAGCCACTAAAACTGCGTAAAATTGGAACTATTTTCACAATTCATTAGTAATATTGAAAGGTTGGTGAGGCAACCCAACGTAACATTAAACCGAATTGGATTTTACTATTTTATCTTTCATTTCTTTCAATCACACACGTACACATCTTCCGGGCACCACCTAGGCCAATGGCAGATCACTTCCGGGAAAAATCCAATCAATCACGCACAATTCAACTAATCTAGCACCAGCCGCCCTTTCAAAGAGTTATTCCTAAGTTTTGAACAGAAAAAGCTGAAGATAATTCCAAAAATCTCTGTATGCTTCAGCTTTCATTCACCAAAATGTAGGTATGCCTCTTCAATCTGACGCGACACAAAACACACTAGCCTCTGGTCGTATACTGATTACTGACGACTACTGACTCGACAGGCTAGCTGGCTGGATATGTTGAGAGTGAGTGTTCTACTGCTCCCGTCAGTTCATACACACAGCACAGCGTACACTGTGCGAGAAATTCGATTTCAAGAGTTTTGCCTGGTGGTGCCTCAGGCCGATATACACATGTAAATGCTGCCTCACTTCGTAGATGTATATATGAGATACTCCTTGGGAGTCACCAATCGTCGAGGGTGCAGTGCTGCCAACAGGTGTATGATAATCGAGAGGTTTCTACTGCACTACTATTATTGATTACCGATTAGCGGGCAATGAAATCGAATACATACTTAAAATTTTATTTTAGCTTTTACCTATGTCATCTCTTTGAAGGGTTCTACAAATAAGGTTTAAACATTTACACACATTATTAGTTTTGGTGACTTAAAGAAAATCTCGTTTTTTGACTGACGATCTAAGAATTACAGTATCTATCGTTGCGTATTTGTAATTTTGTACCAATTTGCCTTTAAATATTTATAAATTATTTGTCAAAGTCAAATTATACATTACACAGTCACATTACTATCATACAGACAACTACTAATATCGTTTCCGTAATCACTACACACTCAATCTAGCTAGGTAAAATCTGCAACAGCCGATTACCTCGGCATTAGCTTTTGCTGATATCTCTGCAAAATATCTGTTGGTTACCTGAGATCTCAGGAAAAAACCAATTTGTTAGCTGGGCCTCGGTAATTATTTTACTGAATCCCAGCCAAATAAATCGCAGAACGACTCGGCTGTTGCATTATCGGTAAACAAAATTGAGTGTGTACTTTGGGACCACCTGCATTTGGCATAAATGTAGAAAATCACTAGTTATACCCATAAATATTTATTTTGCTTCCTGCTTGTACCTCAACAGATGAAAGAACAGCTCATGATAAAAAGAATGTGCTGTTCTTTTTCGCGTTTAAGCCAAATGGTCTTTATTCCAAGAAATGAAATTTGGCACTCTTGTTTAACTATAAATTGTATTGCTAAGGTTGGGGGTATCACCAACCGGTGGAAACTAACGATTTTACATCTATCCCCGCACATCTGTAAACATATCGAAGGATAAGGCGGCAGGAAATTTCTCCCTAACTACACACTGCACATCACTGTATTTCCCGAGCACTAATGCTAGATCGCTATCCGGGACTTCTGGTGGAACGTCGTACACTCTCAAATATTGAACGGTGCCCTCAGCAGGCGACGTTAATTACAAGCAATGAAGCATGGCTTCTTTTGATTTAAACTTTATGAACATAGATTTTTCCTCCGCTAAGCGATATGTAGCGATCATCTGAGTGGGGTCCACGTCCAGCGATATAATTTGCAATTACTTTCATGGAGGGTTTTGAACTGCTAGCTGCGAAATGCATAACCTTAACTGTAATAATTATGAACTTTACTATAATACATTTGCATGATAAAGTTTTAAATTTATGTATTATGGTTTGTTGAATCTGGATTTCAAAAAGTATTGGGTTGAGAGTCATTACCTTTAAAAAATCTGGATTTCATCATACAGTTTCAGAACGATAACTTGAATAAAACATTTGTATCTATGGTTCGCGAAGGTAAATGGTCATGGAGAGCCTAATAAAATACCATAAACGAACGTTAATCCTAATGAACGATACCCCAAGTACGTCGGTAAGCAAAATAATCCTTCAAAGTTTATTAGGGCGTGGTAATCTTTAAGGTCAACAATAAACGGTTTTATAATGTCGGTCAACCCTTGCACACTTAATCTAGCTCGGTAAAATCTCCAACAGCCGATTACCTCGGCATTTGCTTTGGCTGATATATCTGCAAAATATCTGTTTGTTAGCTGATATCTCAGCAAAATGATATTTGTTAGCTGAGTCTCGGCAATTGTTTTACTGAATCTCAGCTAAATAAATTGCAGAACTACTCGGCTTTTGGAATCTCGGCGAAAATTATTAAGTGTGTGCCCCAACCATAAAATTAATTATCGAATAATCGTAAAACTTTAACGTAAATGATAAATTATTATGCGGGAACGTAATTGGATGCAATCGTTATTAATTTATTACTGCTAGATTTTATTGCTGGCCAACCGTGCGATGGTGAATACACACTTATAATCAAAATCTGTCCTCGGTGAAATATATTGCCGTAACAGTTCAGTAAACTGAAAATTTGCCGAAGTTTCGTTAAACATATAACAGTTCACTGAAATTCGTATCTAGTTTTAGCCAAATTTCGGTAAGCTTCGTCAATTGTAATCACTGATCTAATTGGCCAAATCTTAAACTGCCGAAATCAGCAAAATAATTTAACGAACTATACGGCATTCACATTTTGCTTTGCCGAAAATACTTAAAATATCTGTCAACAAAGACGGACACATAAATAACTGCCAGAATGAAATTAGGTTAGGTGCACATGAAAATTTAAAAGTAGTAGTGTCGCAGTTCAGAAAAATCAGTGAGGAAGATTGAACGGTGCCCCGGGATGAATCTTCCTCGACGGAAGAAGCAGCACCGACAACCGGAGATTAGATGTCCGATTACGAGTACTACGAAGAGGATGAAGACGACGATCGAACGATTTAAGAAAAAATCCAAGCAGCAGCTAATGACCAGCATCTGCGAGAGGTGCCAGATTACGTCGAGATGATATCCACCATCAAGGATATAAAGTCATTCGTCCTGTTGCTGGTTGGTACAATTTTGCTAGGCTTCTATTTAAAAAAAAATGTTATTAATTTCTCTTGTAATCCCTTTCAGGCGGATCTCCTCGATCTCCCGTGCTACATCTGGCCGGGTTTGTCGGAAATTCTTGGACCCGAACGATCGATAATCGTTGTCGCGAACAAAGACGACCTTCTTCTTCGGGACTGAACTATCTGAACAACATTCGGAACAACTTTCCTGGAGGCTGGCTTCATCAGAAATAACATCACACACGTGTCGCTCATCTCGGTCACCACCGGTTACGGAGTCGAACAGCTGATCACTAAAATCCACAACTCTGGGGAACACGTGGCGACATCTATCTGGTCGGATGCACCAACGTCGGCAAGAACTTCCTGTTCAACGTCCTTGTCCGGTCTGATCTGTGCAAAGTCAAAGCAACCGATCTGATCCAACGAGCCACGGCTTTCCCTTGGCCCGGCGCGACTCTCAGGATGCTGAAATTTCCCATCCTAAGATTTTCCGATTACAGGCTCTATCTTCACTCGAAACGAGTTCAGTCCGAACCGAAGAGGAAAAACTACGCAAGCACCAAGCCAGAAGCACCGGATCACCCGAATTCACCACTCTCATTGGTCACGTTGGTCAAACCTTCGCCGACGATATACGGTAAGTTTGACTATTTATGGCTAGATTGATAGCCATTTAAAGTGTTTCATTTTGCGTGGAACCACTAACTTGAATAAAAAAAAACAATGTTATAAAATTGTATCCTACTACTTTTATTTCCCTTTAAAATCACAACCGTAATCAAGCAAAAAACAAAAAATGAAAAACAGGCTGTTGGATTCTCGGCACTTTTTTTTGCCGGACTCGGCGAAAAAATCTAAGTGTGTAGTTTTGCTATATGGCGATTCAGAAGTAGCGATTGTAGAAATAATAGATCGAACTACCTAAGTGCATAATTATTGATATTTTTAATTAAAAATAAATGTTGCTATAAACAAGCTTGCAAATGCTCATTACAGCTAAAATGCTATTTTTCGGATTTATGAAGTTATGAGATATTTTAATGATAATTGTTATTTACAAAATGTGTGTGCATGATACATAAAACCTGTCAATTTAGCTTTCAGAGGGTCATAATAGTGATTAGCTGTAACGATGAGCAACGCAATTAGCGAGCAATCAGCAATCATAAAATCGCTAGTTGTGACCTTCTGATAGCAAAATTGACAAATAATTTTATATGTCATACACAAACTTTTCCACCTCTTCTTGCTTCTTAAACATTAAAATTATCATTATAGGGGAAATGAATGTAAGTCGGCCTAAATGTCCCTAATATGGGCCTATACATAAATTCAGCAATCGACTAAATTTTCAATAGTGGAGGCGAACCAGCCCAAGGCTGAAAGCCTCATTAATAAAGTTAAATAATAATAATAATAATAATTTTCAATAGCGACCAAAAATATCCTTTAGTACCGTCCCAATGACGCGTTCATCTAGATAAAATTGATAAATAGCAGATTTTTAGCGATGGGCCCAATCTTAGATCCATAGGCCAACATTAGAGGCATTTCCCCTAGTATCTCATAGTTTCATAATTACGAAAAATAGAAGCTGTAATGAGCAATTACAAGCCTGGCTATAAACTCTTATCAATTTTCTATAAATCCATAATTTATAAGACAGCTCACCCTCTGGTGGTGAGTACTGTCAGAATTAGGGAGTGTCTAGTCTACCCTAATAAAGATTGTATGGTTAATTTGCTTAACGACGTGTTCTGGGTATCATCCAAACCATTTGTGGAATAGTTCTAGAGTAACATTTGAAATGGGCCTATGTCCAAAACGTAAACAAATCGGGTTTTGATACCATTCTTTAGCACCGCTTGATAGCTACTAATCGTGTAAGAAAGTTCCGCATAATCGAGAAAAATCATTAAAAATAACTCGATTTTCGAAACGGCCGATCAACGAAATTTTTCGATTCATTAATAGGCCCGCACGCTGAAACGGCCAACCATTCATTTATTTCATTTCATTGATAAGCCTAGTGACGTAGAAGGGCCGATGATTGAAAAATTTCAAACCAAAGCTAGGCCCTACTGCTTGAGGCAGGGCCGATGATTTGTTTTGAATTTATTTGACGTTGCGAAAAGGCTTAGCAAAGGGCCTACCATTTCTGATGACAAGCACAACGGCTTAACAAAAAGGGCCTATCCATTGAAAGATTCACAAAAAAGGCTTATTAATTTATGAAATTATATTGTTATCGATTTTCATATATTTTTGAAAGCTTTTCGTATATTTTGGCTGTTGTTTACTGAGATACAGTTACTATTGTTATTGTGAACAATATAAATGCCTAAAATACTTCAATTTTCTTAAATATGAATTGAATAATGGCGGTCAAAATTTAAAATTCATTTTCTGGTTTGTTTACGTTTTGGACATAGGCCCATTTCAAATGTTACTCTAG